AGTAGGAGGGTTTCAACCTGTGAGATTTCACAAGCTCACTTCTATCTGATGCAAAACATCTCTCTCCAAATTTTTTGACTGTGTGTATATGTCAGGGGTTAACCTGGGGCTTTGTTTCTCTGCTGTGCATGCTTCACCTTAGCCAGAGCAAAGGCGGGTTTGCAGCACCAGCAATGAGCATGTAGCAGCCTGTGGTTTCCCAAAAGCAGGGTGAAGACTTCACCCTGGTCATGCAGGGAAAGCTCATCTGGGGAGGGAAGGGAATGCCTGCCTCCCCAAGTGCCCAGTTCAGCTGTAAAGAGACAAGGTGGCAGCTAAACTTTTTCAAATAAATGTCACCATCAAGCCCACTTGATGTGAGTCTTCATCTGGTCTTTCTTGCAAATAAAAGGTTTATTTTTCCTCTTAGCTCTGTGCCTCTGTGTTGCCTCTGGCAACCAGGGATAAAGCAGTAAAATGAGACTTGTAATCTAGACAAGGTTTGATGCAGACCTCTGCTGTGGCTGCATTTGTTAGATTGTATTGATTTTTTAGCAAACCTTGTAGGGTTTTTTAATGAAAATTTCCCATCTGGTTTGATCTGAGGGTGTAATATTTGGATTTAATCCATTTCTAAATCTGTGACTTTAGCAGAAGAGACAGATAAGTAAAATTTCCAGATATTTTTAAGATGGAGAGAAGGGAAATGTAGTTGTTGCTTTTTTTGTTGTTGTTGTAGTTCTGTTTTTTGTGGGGTTTTTTTTAAAGTTCCTCAACAGGAAAAGGGAAAATTTGAGAGGATAACTGAAACATCTGCAGTAACAATATGGAGCCAAGCTTTATTTTTTCAGAAACCTTAAGAATGAGTTGATGCAACCATTTAGCACATGAAATTATTGATAATACATTCATAAGAGCATTATAAATTCTTTACTACAAGGTAACGATTAATATATCTGTTTTTAATAGATAGAACTGGGCTGCCCATAAAGGTGTACAAATGCGTATTTTGTTTGCTGACGAAGCTGTGAAATAAAATAAAAACAACAATCTCTGAAAGTAGAAAATATCCATAAGACTTACTTATAAGCAAAGTAGCTGAAAAATTGTATCCACAGTGCTCAGGAATTGTATGTATATTGAAACGTGATGTTCTAGTGCACATAGAGAAGGAATTAATATTTCTTGAGCGAAACACAAGAAAATAAGCATGACACTCTCTCATATATGTATGTATATACTTTTTTATTATATAGTAGTTTAAAATGACAGTATAAAAGACCAGCTGTAAATTTTCTCTCCAGTACATAAAAGGAAATTACCTTGAGTTATAGATTGAAAAATAAACAATTGAAGTCCTTTTATTTATAAACTGAAAGCATTTGGAAGGATTAAAGTACAATATCACTCTATCTTATTGTTCAGGCAGAAAAATCTTCACCGTGTAAGTGGGTTTCACTGTTTTTTCCCCCTCATATTTTATTCCATTCCAAACTTCTTCCTCCCTCCTTTTTCACTTATATTTTTTTCCTGGAAAGTCTTTTTTCGTTGTGTTGTCCAGAGCCTGGCATGTGTAGTCATTTATTTCTGCAAAATAAATCTAAAATTTGAATGGAGATCCCAACAACTTAATATTTCCCTCCAAAGCCTGTATTTCTGCTAGAGAATCTTTACAAAACAGTCACCTTCCATTAGTCAATACCAACATTTGGAAATGTTGCCTTTTTTTTCATTGTGTGAACATATTTATCCAACTTGCTAATTGCTGTTGTCATTGCCCAGGTGAAAAGTGTCTCCCAGGCAGGTTCTCTTTGCAGCTTACCCATCCTTGGGCAGCCCTGTTCCTCCTGCACTCTGCTGGAAACTCTCTGTTTCTCACCCTAACTGCAGAGTGAGCCTGAGACAAAGCCCCCCAGCCATTAAAGATTTCTCACTGACAATTTCCCTTTGCTTCCTGCAGCATCCTTTGGCAGCCCTTTGTCACATTGGTGATGATGAATAAATCAGAAAATAGACTTCTGCAGGAAGAAAAGAAAAAAAAGTTTTATTGGGGGCAATTCCAGAGTCCAAAAAACTGCAGAAAGTGGACGCTTTTTTTTTTCCAGAATAAATGTATGGCTTTTTGACTAAAACTGAGTAAGCTGTTGTAAGCAGGATGAGATACTACAGGTTGTGGAGATGGTGTGAGCTGCCAGGCCCTTGGTGCATGTCTTGCTGGAGGCCCCTGCACTCCTGGTAACCTGGGTGGGCACTAGTGTGGTGGAAGGAGTCAGCAAAGACCAAAGGATATCCTCCTAAAATGACAGCCACGCACTACAGTGGGGCCTGGAAGCAGCTGCTTTGCTGTCTGCAGTATTGCCAGAGCACTCTGTGTTTTACCTGTTGGCATCCACAGCTTTTTAACTGCAGTTAACAGTAGTGATTTGTACACTGTTTGTGAGCGGGTTCAGATCACAGGCAAAAGTGCTTTGGCTTCCTGTCTCCACTTGGTCATCTGCGTGCAGAACAGCAATTTGAGTGTGTTCCTCTGACAAACAGGACTGTTCAAATCGGCTCTGACTCCTGTGCTGAAATTCTAGGATTGGTTAATAGTAGAGTATTGAAATTTATTTATAGCTTGACTGTACTGCATGGATAGGGCTGCTTTTGCGCTCTGCTAGAGCTGGTAAAGATCAAAGTCTTGTGACTTGGATGGGCAGTTCAAATAATACAGTTTCATCCCATGTGTTGCTCCTAAAATGCTCTGGTTTTGTTGTGTAACTAATTTAAATGGAACCTAAATTCCACATTATTTTGCGAATAAGACTACTAAATATTTTGGAGTTGAATTCTAAAAAAAAAAGCCACCTGCTTGCCGGGCCAAATTACCTTAATTACAAGTATGACCATTAATTATTTTCCCTTGTATGTATTATACAGTATTTAACTGTTATTGCTACTAACAGCTTTCCACTGGTGAACTGGACATTCTTCCTTATGTCACGACTGAACTCCAGATACACATTAGAGAATGCAGGTTTTTTGTTTGTTTGTTTGTTTGTTTTTAAAGCAGTGTCTCAAAAGTACTTATAACTGGCTCATTTGAGACCAGTAAGCCATTGTAGCAAAACATGAGTTAATGTCTTAATGTGGATGTAGTAGCCATGAGATGGGACCATTTCATCATTGTATAACACCACACGTCTTTCACACCATGAAGAGGACAATGTCCATACAGTCTTGTCTTGACTTGAGATGAAACTTTTCATGGGTGTTCCTCCTACTACTCGCATGTGAGGAGACTGGGGAGCATGTGTGGCTTGTTCTTTCTTCCAGGCCGTTTTTGCTGAAATCTTGATAAAGATGACAATGAAAAAAAATTCTCTCTGGTATTGCAGTGGCACCCAGTCCAAAGGGGTCTCAGTGCTCACCTTGTATGAGGTGAGATTCCAAAGCAAAGAAGGGTTTCCTGATTTCAGCCCCTTATTTTTTTTATTTCAGTATTTTCCTACCTGACAACTTTTTGAATATAATTTCTCCACCAGGACAATGCATCCAGAGATGTTTCCTTACTGGTAGGATGTATGGTGATCTCTTCAGTCCCTCAGCCTCAACCTACTTGCAAAATACTTCTGGAGTCTGATTAGATACTATTTAAGGCAGAGCCCTTCCTTTTCTATACATTTCAGTGATACCTGATGCTAACAAGTAGGACTGCTGAGTGGCAAGTTTTTCTTTTGTTCTGGAAAGTGAAGTAAGTACCAGTGGAGAATGCCACAAAGCAATTTTTTTTTTCTTTTTATTGCCTTCAACAGTGCCCCAGTTTAGTGTTGCTTCTTGTCGCAGGGAGGATGGAGAAGTGTGGTGCTCTCTTTGCTTGGGGTGGCTTACACGGTTGCTTGTGTGTGTCATGGATGAGCCAGCCTGGTATATGGTAGAGCAGGCAGGTCTGTCACCCAGAACAGCAGTGCAAAGGCAAGTGTGCGGTACGGCAGCTCATCAGGAGGCCATGGTAATGTGCAGGCAGTGGTGTAACAGCAGTGTCCATTGGGAGTGAAAAAAGATGTGTCTTGCTCCTCAGCTGATGAAAGGTCGAAAGGTGCAACTTCAACCTGGTTACCTGATCAAAACAAAAGCTGGAAGATGAACATGAGAGAGAAAGAGAGAGGTCAGCCTCTGAATATTGTGCATTACCCTGATATTGAATCCTTTCAGAGAGACAGAAGGCTTTATTCTCTATCAGTATGAACTCTGTGGTAGGACTGAAACTTTTAGGATGCAGTAACAGTGTGTTAGATGGCGATACCAGCTCTGGGATCCTCAAAGCTTTTCAGAATAACTGATTCTCCTAGTGCTATTGGGACAACAAAAAGGTAGGTATTGGTTTTGCAATATTCTTATGTTTGGGGAAATGGGAACAGAAAGCTTATCAGTTATCTAGCTGTCCTGAACAGCAAACAGACACATTGATTATCTTGATCTGTCTGTGATAGTTAAGTTTACCTAGAAAGTCTAGCTCCTCCTGCCTCTTCTGCAGCTTGAGACTGCACACTGAGAAGGAATAGAGAAGTAAGAGTTAGGGAGCTGAACTGGCTTACTGTGCAGTCAGGCAAGCACTGAGCTAGTGCAAAGGAAGAAGAGAATGAGACGTTTTGGTAGCATTTGGCCCTTTGATCACCTCCCGCATATGGCTGAGGTATAGCTTCTGTAGCTGAACTCTTATGTTAAGAACCATTTTATTTTCTTGACTCCCTCCCTGTGACCCAGGACTGGTCCTTCCTTCCCACTTCTGGCAAGTATTTCAACTGTCTGCAGCATGTGTTGTGTTCTCATGTCTGGCTGAACAAGAGGGGGTTAATTAATGTACAGCACTCACAGTGAGACCAGGTCTGGTGGTGGTGCTTGGAGGAATTACTATGATATGTCTAATCCTTAGATAACTGCATGCAAAGTGGGTAATATCTGAAAAAAAATATTCTTCCATGTTTATTTTAAATCTCCGAAAAAGCAAATGCATGTCTTTCTCTCTTCTCTCTTGGCAGAACCAGCTCCTTGCAAAAGGCTTGCTGTTTATAGAGGAGAAGGTTAAGCTGTATGAAGGCAAGTATAGTAGGAAACCTGTTTTGGAAGGGAGTTGTGCTTTGATGTTTGGTCAGACAAGATGGTTTGCGTGTCTGAAAACCGTATAGCCCTTTCTGGTACTGTCTTAGGGAGTCACACAACCTCTCAGGAGCCAGGTTGTGCTGCACCCCTTATGAGGCTTAAGGAATGGCAGGCTGTTTGAATAGCTACATAGCTGCAACACTCCCACCAGCCAGGACTTCTTTCTGAGAGCAGGAACGTGGGTCTTGTGTGGCAGTTGAACCTGGGCTTAAAGCAGTTCTGGGCGGGCATGAATCCTGTTGCAAAACTGCTGAGAACCACCTTCTGTTTTCTATTTCTCCATGTGATTTGCAGCTTGATGTAAGCACTATTTTGGTTACTGTCATGCTTTTGAGACCTGAGCAAACACGCTTTGTGTAAATTTAGACAAAAAACATTCACTTGGGTGGGAATGAAATCCTTCAGGAAAGAAGTTATTCACACATGAACTTCTGTTCAAACCACTGGAGTACAAACACTTGCCACCATGGAGCCTGTGGGTGAAGGCTAGTGTTGGATGTGTGTGGAGTTAATCACAATTATTAACAGTTTTCTCAAGCAGAGCGAGCTGTCTGGAGCACATGTCTTTATTCAAAACTAGGCTGTTGTTGGATTTGACACAGTTTTGTAGTCTGTATGGAAGATCCTTGCTAATCGTCAGCCTGCTGTATCTGGGTCATTAAATGCCAACAGACACTTGCAGTCTTGCATCATTGTTGGTGCTGGATTCTTCTGCACTGCTCTTCACCAAGTGACTTCTTTACCTGGCCAGCAGGCTGTAGGACTGGGACCCTGAAGGAGCTGTGCAATGGCAGCCTCCTGCTTGGTGTGTGCTTCATCAGCACTGCGCCTAAAAGGAGGAAAAAAGGCCGTCTTATGCATGTTCCCAAACATGGATACCTGCTGCTGCCAGCTCTTCAGAATGAGTGCTGCGTAGCTTATCATTATGGTTTTGTTTTCTGTTTTCATAAAAAACTATTCCAATGTCTGTTTTAGCATTATGAAAATTGAGTTCCAGTCTGTAATAAGCTGAGAGCTGCCTGGGAGTAGTTTGCAGCTGCTCAAGTAGTTTGGGTGAGATGAAGTTTCCCAGGCAGACAGAAAAACCCTCTTCTTGTGCCTCATTTTTTTGTTCTTAGTTTGAAGTAACACTTTGCCCATACAGGCTGGCATTTCTGCAGGTGATGACTCATGGGCACCTTTCTTTCATAAATGTGTAGGATTATTGGAGGTCTTGTGGTCTCAACAACAGGAACTTCTTGTACGTGCTTCTCGGTTAGCTCTGTCTTCCTGGAAAATTTCTACTGTCCCAGTACTCAGAGATGGAATAATGTTTCCGCTGCAGGGCATGGCTATGTTTTACTGTGTCTGTTTTTCAAATCACTACTTTAATGTGATTCTTCTTTATTCAGTCTGTCATAATCTCTTTCAGTGCCTGTAGGATTTATGATTTCTTGAAGAAACAAACCATTCCCCCTTCCCCTTCAAGAAGAAGTGATCTATGACATTTCCTTCTGGCTCCACACACTAAAGCATTGCAGTACTGAGGAGGAGACAGAGGAAGGAAAAATTTAAACATTCAATTAGTCTGTTTCCTGTTGTGTTTTTCACTTACAGTTGGCAGTTTCTGGTAATGGGTAGCTGTTATGTGGGTGTTGGGTAGGTGCTTATCTGTCTGCAGTTCCAGTTTTGAAGCTGGTATTGTACCTGTCATGGTGAAGCCTCCCTCTGAGCCCTTCTGTAGCCATCAGTGGGCTCTCTGGTCGAAAGGAATTATCTGCAGGATCCGGTCCTGCTGTCTCTCTGCTTTCTGGCCATGTCCTAAGCAGCATAACCCATGGGCAAGCACAGTGAAAGCCCATGTGGAAGTCTCCAGATAGGGAAGGCACATCAGTACACAGTGATAAGGCTCCTTTGGGTTGCAATTTTACATGTGTTCCAGTTCCTCATGTAGGGCCTTTAGTCCCCTTGAAGCTGAGTGTTCAAAACTGTCTTGAGTAGCCATCTTCCATTACTGCACCTTGAGTCTTATGAGCTGCTTATGAGCTCCAGATGAGGCTCCATGGAAGGTGTTCTGAAAAATCCTTTTGTCAGAAACTTGTGTTATTAAACCTGGGCCTATATTTGTGCCTGAAATTTCTGAGGAATGTATCTAGAACTTGAAAAAATATTGCAAGCCTTTGGCCTTTGGGATAGGAAAAATCTCTTTAAAAACTCAGAGGCTTTGGGCCCAGGTGCTGAGGAACACACAGGCCTATAAGTCAAGCCTACAAGCATAATTTAAAATGTCTATTCAGACTATTATGCTCAGTAAAGCATTTTTTTGTTAATAATAGTCTTTTGACCACAGTTGTATTCCTGTTGTGGGAATCATGAGTTGTATAACTTAGTCCGCCTTCATTTTAAATACCCTCTTACACTGGGGGATGTTTCTTTGAGTCAAAGTCATATGAGAAGTGGCCACAAGCAGATTTCATTCGGGAACCTTCCCAAATGCTACATTTGAGAGAAGGATGGTGGCTTTGTGGCTCGTCAGGGCTCTGTCTGCTGTGTCTGTGCTTGGGAGAGGGGGGAAGCTGGAGGGAGCTCAGCTGTTGTAAATGATCTCCCTGACTCAGTTGCTGCAGAACAGTAGATGTTGGCTGTGACCTGCTGGTTTTCAGATTCAGCTGCTAATGTGTGGTCATGCTTCCATGTTAGTTGAGCACGCCAAATGTGAGCTGTGAGACTAAACAATCCTTTGCTGTGGGGTTAAAGCCTTCAGTCGAGGAGGAGCTCCACTCTTGTTGGAATTGGTCTCGTGTTTTGCACAGAGCTGTTTTCTTTGCAGTAAGAGACAGAGCAATTCATGGTCACAGCCTGTGTCCCTGTCACTTAAGGCGAAGCTTAGCTGAGTGATATCCAGCTTTGGAAGGAAACTGTGAATGTGAAGGGTGGGTTTGTATCTCTTATTTGGGGAATTAGAGAGTAGTGGGAAAATTCAACTTATTTTAGTGTCCTTGTCGCTAAAGCTTTTGCTCCCAATCTCTCATTTTGTAGGTGAGGATCGCATTGATGTCCTGTCTGAAATCTGGGATCACTATTTTACAGAGACTCTTCCTACACTCCAGGCAATATTCTACCCAGTCCAGGTAATCTGAATTATGATTCAGTCTTCAGTCAGGCGAGGCAACGTAACTGCAAAGTCTGCTAGCGGTATGTCTGTGCTTTGCTAAACTTGAACACTGAAACTGTTGGAATATACCTTATGTAGACTGAAGCTCTGGGCCATTTGCATTTATAGTTCTGTTTTTAAATATGCAGGACTCTGTGGTGCAGATGACAACACTGACAACTTGTCTTCAGAGGGACAAATCTGAAGACTAGATCAGGAACAAATCTGTTTAACTTGCCCTTACTGTTTTTTGGAGGGCTTATGTCTCAATTTTGCCTTTGGAAAATCCTCTGTTGGTGTTTTTTGAAGCTTTAATAAGGAGACAAGTGACTCTATGTGTAGTGGATGAATGAATAACTTTATGTAAGATGTGTTTACACTGGGTATTTTGAAAGCTGAGTATCCCATCGGAATTGTTGAGCTGTATCATTTTTTAATGTAGTTTTAGTCACGGTTTCCATACGAAAAGTCTAATTAACTCTCCAGCCTATTTTGATCTTTTCTTCCATTAGAGGAAAAGAAAAACGTACCTCATGAGGAGACTGATATTCTTGGAAATGTTAGCCTCTTCCTCTTGACTTTCACCTCTTCCACAATACATACTTTCCAGAGCCTTTTAAAATATTTTTCACTGGTATTGTTTGAAAGGCAGCAGGTAAAGCTCAAAGGTTGCCCTTTTCCTCTAATCCTATTAAAGCTGGCATTTTCTAAAAGAGAAAGGACTTCTGTAAAGATAGACACTAACCTTTCTACTGTGTTTATTTTTATTCTTTCCTTGCTGCAGATGCTTAAAGGTAGGTGTTTGGCATGTAAAACCATGCAATTATCTTTCCTTCTGTCCTTTTCCAACCAATTCTCAGTCAGGGAGTGACCTAATCTGTTTAAGCAGGTCTGTACACTGTGGAAACAGCTGAGCTAACTGTCTCATACCCACTGATGCTAATAATTCTGCCACTTAGCAGAAAAATCTACTCCACTGCTATTAAATGTCTCTAATGTGAAACTGAACAAAAGTTACTATACAGTGGTGTCGTGGTTTAGTGCTGGGCTGGCCACTAAATCCTGGACAGATGCTCTCTATTAACCCCTCTCCCATCTCCAGAAGGGAAGAGAAAAGAGAATAAGGGAGAGAGACTTTACAGGTTGGAAAATAAAACTAACATTTAATAAAACAATAATACTAATACTACAGGATACTGCTAGTAATACTGCTAGTTTTCAGCAAGTTCAGCCACTTAAAAGAGACTGAGCTGAAGAGTAAAATCACTGAATAGAAAAATTAGTTCTATTTAGCTCAAACCGGGACAAGTGGATGCAGCTTTTGGGGGTAACTTGGTGGTAGTGGTGAAAGAGTGATTATGAGATGTTGGGATTCTTTGAAAGCATAACTTTCTGTATTTGTCTTGTCACAATATCTGAGTCACTCAAAAATATTTCACAGGAGCTGTGAAGTTAGGGAAGTACTGCCATTTGACAGATGAGGAACTGAAAGGTTACAGACAGCATGTTTAAAGCTTTGTAGGCACCTAAGTCCTAAATAAATGTATGGATTTAAACTGCCTGAATACATCCAAGAATTTGACTCTAAGTAAGCTCCCCTAGTCTGCAACAGAGAGAGTTGCAAGTGCAGCAAGAAATCAGAAATTGCTCTTATCCCAAGCCAGTGCTCTAACAAGATTGGGCTCTCCTACAAATAGGGAGCTGTATGTACAGTGTGTCACCACATGAGAAGAGAGCTCATCTAGTGAATCTCTTTCTCCAAGCTGCAGTACTTCATGTGGTACTCTGGTAGGTGGGAAAGTAAATTTGTTGTTGGTGCCCCATCCTTTGCTGCAAATGTCAACATGATTATTTAGTTGTGCTGTTTTCTGATCCCAGTGACTACCCATTCAGAATGAAAGTAAGTCAGCCAAATGTGTAAGCGTATGTTACCAAAGGTAATAACTAGAAGTAACTTCCCATCTCAGCTAAGTTTAAACCCGGGGCTCATAGCTGTTGCAGAAATATGACCTTTAAGCTGCCAAGTTGGTTAAATTGCTGTACAGAGGGAAACTATGTAAACAGGTCACTGGCTTTTGTATAGTTGCAGCTGTTGATGCAACTACTTGGTGTGGAAAAAGAATAGCAAATCTTTTATTGGTTGGCACAGGAAGATGTTTGCATTTTGAAATGGGATATGAAGTTAATAAGACTAAACTGCATGATATAGGTATAAAGTGTGCAGCTGCTGACATACAGTTCAGGGATATGTACCAGTCTTTTCTACACCGCCATGTTTCTAAACACTCGATGGTTTAAAACAGCAAAGTGCTTTTATTATGGCCAAGCTGGCCTCCAGACTATTTACTTTAATTTGTATTTACATATTGATGATGCTGTTAATTATGACATTAGACCCATTATGAATCAATGATTAACTGCTGTTAATTCCTTCCAGCTAAATATTTGCCATGTTGAGTGTGTTATGGAGATCATAAAATGCTTCCCAAACAGACTGTGGGCAGAGATTAACATGCTGAGAAGAACAAGGGAAACTCTTTCTGGTGGAAAGTGCTGGGCAGGGCCTGGAGGAAAATTTCTGCTGTTAAGCTGCAGTGGGGCAAGAGGAAGTCATGTGGATGTTAAGTATAGCAGAGGGAAAGGCAGTAACACCAGAATACCAAGTAGAATCCAACTGTGTTTAAATATGCTGAGAAATATTACATCATCTTCATCTGTTAAGCCTGCACACTTGTGTTGTTGATGTAAAAAGGAATTAGGAGGACATGGAGTGCCTTATGGTGGAAATCAAAGCTGTTGCTTTCTTAAATCATGTTTAGTACAAGCAGTCTCGCTAGAGTTGCTCTAGCATAAATCCTAAAATTTGTAACAGACTGAATTGTAGATTTTTATCATATCAGCAAGATCTAAAGTGCAGACTTTGAGCAAAAAGAGACTCCAGCACAGATGAGAGGTAGGCTTACTTAAGGAATACTCTATACCAACCTCTTTCCCCA